TTTTCTTTCTCGCACCCCGAACAGCATTGGGAGTAGAAGCCATTCAGTGGCAAGAACTGGTGTCCCGAATCCAGGCCGTCTGAGGATCACTGGGTGCTAGTGGGACCCCCAGTTTCGAACCGTATGCTGGATGGTCCACACCTGCGTGCCACAGGCCTGGAGCACAGGCTCATAGAAACCTGAAGGGTTCTTCTTTATCTCCAGACAGCGCTTGGTGGCTCTGTTTCTGAGGGCTCCTCCCTGGATGGGCAGAGAGACAAGCAGGTGTTGCAGTGCCCTGGCCGTGCTCCCCTCCCCCGTGCAGCTCGTCCTGCTCTGCTCAGACACGCTGGGGGCTCCCTCAATCCTCCGCAAGCCTCCAGAGGACAAACGAAGCCAAGTGTCGGGTTAGGTCATCCAGTGCTTTCTCCACCAGCCCCGTGCTAAGCTGACCGTGGACCTGGGGTTCTCATGTCGTCATCTGTCTGTCCTGAGACCGGGGCATCAGGTAGTGTGACGGACAAGACATGCTGCACCTCAGAGGACCGTGGCCCTTCTCCACTCCACCTTCCTTTACACATCCTCAGCCCGAGCCCACGACCCCCTGGGACTTCCCTGCCCCCTCAGCACGGCTCTTGGTGGGTCTGGAGCCGGAGCTACGTGCAGGAATCTCAGCCTGTTTTCTCCACCACTCTGGGGCGGTTCCCACTTCCCCGAGCGGGGCTTCACCGGGATAGCACCAGAACAGTCGGGCTATGGAGCTGGAGAACCCGGTTAAATCCCTGCTCGAACACGAACAGAGAGGCCTTCAGCAAATTACCTAACCTAAGCCTCAATTTCCTCGCCTATAAAATGGGTTTAGAGTTAATACTAGGATTAAAACTAAGGTTAATATTTATTGAGCATCTTGAGGCAGAGGCCTGTCCCCATTCTAATGGGGGGAGAGGGGAGAGGGTCACCCTTCCCTTTCTTCCTTATCCCCGAGGCTCAACAACTGACGAGCACGCCAATGTCCCGGCTGTTCCCTCTCCCAACCCTCCCACTCCCCACACCCCTGCCCACCTGTGGCAGGAATAACGCACACAGCCTGCCTTCCCGTCCCTCCGCCAGCATCCTCGGCGTTAGCAGCCTCCTTCTGCTTGGTGAGAAACCCAGAACTCGCTGTGCCACCGCGAGTTACCCACCAGGGGTTTTAACAGCAGGGAGGGCACCTGCGCTCTGTCCAAATCCCTGCTCCCTCCTTCACCGTCACCTCCGTGCTCTCTTCTCTCCCAAACGCAAACTGCCCCCAGCAGCCCTGCTCCCCCAGAGTCACCTGCCCCTGGCCACACTGGACTCCCTGCATCCCCACGTCCCCACCTCCCAGGGTGCGGCCATGCGGCGTCACCACTCAGGGAGGCTGTCCGGTTCCCACGCCGCCTGTCACTCGCACGGGCCCTTTCTCTCGGCCCCACTTCCAGGACACACAGGGTCCTGGACGCAGGCCAGCAACGGCTGGGCCTGGCCCACACATGTGCCTCCAGCAGTCTGGCCTCAGCACTTGGCTTATCCTTCGGGCTCCTCCTCCAGGCCCCTGAGCGTGCTTTATGCCTGGATGCTCACTGTCACTGAGCGCCTTTAGTTTTCACGTTGTCGGACGACCCCACTGGCTGTCCCTCTGGCCTCTCACCTGAGTGCCATGAGCAGCCCTCGGGAGGCTGCCGTGGATGGTCTCAGCCTACTGCCAGCACCCCCGTGCTCTGAGCCCAGCCGTCCTTGACACCCACATACAAAGGACACCCTTCTCTTATTTCCCCCTCCTGGCAGCTTCCTTTTCTACCGACTTTAGATATACCCAAATGCCCCGATGTCAGAGGGGGAAAAGCACCCTGCACTCCACCTTCCCTTTCAAACCAGCGTTCAGGGCTTCTCTCCCTTTCAGAAGCAAACCGCCGAAGCGGCGAAGCAATAGCAGGGAAAAGAGTCTGTCTTTGAATCCTCCACTTTTACTATGCTGTGTGCCCTCGCGAACCCTACTTGGTTTCTCTGTGCTTCTGTCACTTCATAGGTAATACTTCTCTTATAAATTAGATCATGTTTAACCCAGTGCCTGGTACATAATATGTACTCAGTGAATCTTGGCTATTATAATGTATTGTGACCTTTTCGATAGAGTCAGTGGTCTTTTTCCTACACCCGTCACTTCCAAGCGAAATGTGCTTGGGCGGTATTCCTTATACCCTCCCAGACTCTGGCTCCTTCTGCACTGTGTTCATCTGGATCTAATACGTGTTTGCTCTGGTTTTTATTTGGGGGGTGTTGCCTGCCAGTTTTTAAAAGATTTTTGTTTCTGTTTCTTTTTCCCTTTTACAGAAGCAATATGTGCCTTTTTTTTTTTAACTTGGAAAATGTATTGTTTAAATTAGAAGAACTCATAACAGGCTAACATTGTACATAGACTTTTTATATGTTCTTAACAGGACATCATGTATGTTTTTTCAATCTGATTAACTTTTGCTAATATACTTCCTGAGAATAGTTTGAATGGCTATATAATAGGCAGTTCAAGGGATGAACAAAAATCTTCCCTACCATTAGACATTTAACTTTTCCTACTGTTTTGCAATGATAAATATTAAGATATTTTCTATATGAATCTCAACCTACATTCTATATTATTCCTTAAATAAAAATACAGTCTCAAAAGAAAATTTGTGCCTTTAAAAGGAGCAATATTAGTTTTGGGTTCTGATGAGTGTCGGGTTTTCCCTATAGAGTGCTGAACTGCTCTCTGGAACTATTCCCACCTCCAGCCCTGACTGCGGGGTCTCCTCCTCCTCACTCCCCCTCCCAGACGCTCTCTGTGTGTCCCGAGCTGTCACTCCACCTGGAAGACTTCTGAACCGTGTCCTAAGCCCACATACTCCCTAAATTCAGACATGTCTCTACTCTCAACTGGTCTCTTCAAGTTGGGTCTCTTCTCGGTCCCTGGCACTCTCTCGCTTGTGGTCTTTCAAGGTCATAACCTCCTCCGGTTGACTCAAAATGTTAATCGTGAATTTGGAAGAAAACAAAGGGATTATCTCATCTTACCACCCCCTCAATTCTGGAAAATACCTTTGGTGGCTTTGTAGGAGAACGAATGTGCAAGTTATGTCTACAAAGTACACAGAGCACAAAAGGGTCCCGACATTCCATCAGATGTCATGTTTATATCTGAAAGAACTGAGATGAGATGGTTATAAAAGGCTCAGAGAGAATGAACTGACTTAAAACTGACTCAAAATCAGGAAAGACCATGAGCTACATGCTTGCCTCCCTCTTTTTTGGAGTTCTTGACATAAAAAGGGATCCGTAAAAAGGGATCCAGTCTGGACACCAGAGTGGTGGGCGGCGCCCGCTGGAGCTCCGGGTCTCACCCAGACACACTCTGCATTCTATCAGCAACGTCAGCCACCTGAGACAGCCATCTTCCAAAATTCTCTTGAAAGGCAACCCTCAAAATGTTTGGGATGTCATCTTCGTTTCTTTAGTATATGTAATATCTTTGATTCCCAGGAGATTTAAACTAAAATATAAATGTTAAGGGAATAAAAAACATAGTATTTGTTAAAGAGTCTGTATATATTACTATTTTTAAGTACATGCTATGTTTGAGAAAACTGTCTTACAGATTAATCTTGTGCTACAAATTTAAAAAGGTGTAACTGAATAATTAAATCGGTTTTATGTTGAAATTTTACTGGATTGCAAACACATTTGAACATTTAAGAGAATTTAAGAATTAGTCAATTTAAAGTCAGATAATTGGCACAGCTGCTGTGGCTCAGTGGTTGAGCACCAACCCATGCACCAAAAGGTCGCCAGTTCAATTCCTGGTCAGGACACATGCCCAGGCTGTGGGCCCGATCCCCAGTGGGGGGCATGCAGGAGGCAGCCAATTGATGTTCTCTCTCATCAATGATGTTTCTATCTCTCTTTCCTTCTGCCTTCCTCTATCTCTCAAATCAATCAATAAAATAATAATAATAATAATAATAAAGTCAGATAATTGAATTTCTTAACAAAGAAAATTTAATATACTAAATTTATAAGTAAAGTCCATAATGTTTAAGGGTATTTATTAAATTGTAAAATCTTTTTTTAAATATAAGTATATACAAGTTTATTTATCATTTTGCTCTTTTTTAATCTTTATTGTTTTTAAGTATTACAGATTTCCTCCTTTTTTTTCTTTTTTCCTTTTAAAGTTGCTAAGAGATGTTTTGTAGACATCTTAAAAGTTCTCATAAGAAAAAATATTTTGTAACTGCTTGGTGATGGGTGTTAACTAAAATTATTGTGTGTGTAATCATTTTGCAGTACATCATATATATTGTGTTGTAAACCTGATATTAACATAATGTATGTCAATTACATCTCAACAATAAAAAACAAATAAGTAAAACACTACAAATAAGTCTATACTCATACATTTTAAGAAAGAAGCTAATTTCCAGAAACCATAAACGACCAAAACTCAATCATCAAAAATAATCATAAAAATTCAAAATAAATAATCTAATAGCTTTCTACCATTAAAAAACTTTTCAATTCAGACTTAAAAGTTCCAGAAAAAGAATTCTCTAGGCCTATAAGATTTCACTGAAGAAGTATACTAAACATTTACAGAAGGATTATATTGACTAGAATTTCTAGTGCTATGTTGTATACCAATGTAAGACAAGATCTTTCAGAAAATCTCTTCCAGAAAATGCCTCTTCCAAAAATTAGTCTATTCTATAATTTTTGCCAAAAGGGTAAACTTTATCAAAGGAAGAGGGAAACACTTTTCAATTCACTCTATAAGGCCAGTACTAAAACCAAAGACAGCACGAAAAGAAAAAAAAAACCACCTACAAACCATGTTCTCTAATGAATTTAGACACAAAAATCTTCAACAAAATACTAGCAAACCAAATCCAGCAAAGCATGAAAAAAAGTTTACTCCATGACTAAGTGTGATTTGTTCCTTGCATACAAGGCTGGTTCAACTTGGAAAATCAACCAGTATAATCCATCATGTCAATAAGCTAAAGAAGAAAAAAACATGATCATATCAATTGACACAGAAAAGCATTTGGTAAAACCCAACTCACATTCATGATCAAAACAAATTCTTAAAAAGTTAGAAACACAGGGAAATTACTTCAACTGATAAAGAGCGTCTACAAAAATAAATCGACAGCTAATGTTACACTTACCGGTGACAGACTCAATGCTTTCCCCCTACCTTGGGGCACAAGGCAAGGATGTCCCGTCACCGCTCTTATTCAACACAGTGCTAGAAATTCTAGCTAATATACTGAAACAAGAAAAACAAATACAAGTCGTACAGATTCGACACTTAAGAAGTGATTGTCAAACCTTGATAGGTGCACGATTTGTAAGTAGAACATAAAAATGTAGAGGAAAACTAGAGTTCTTCCATTTATAACTTTGATAAATTGAATATTAATTTTTTCATGAAAGTTAACCTGTAATTGTATTTTTTGTACACAAGAGATAGCATTAAGGATGTCAAAAACTCACATTAACTGCACTAGGCCTGCCAGATGCTCAAACATGCTTTGCTTGGTGACTACCTTTGACAGAGAGCTCACCACCTTGCCAGGCATTTTGTAGAACAGCTGAAGACATTCGACTGTTAGAAATTCCTCCCCCTGCCCATCATGTTAAGTCAAACTCCTTGATCTCCAACAACTGGGCTTAGTTCTGCCCTTCTGTAGACACTGAACAAGTCTACTTCCTCTTTCTCATGAACACAGCATCATCTTTCCTCTAGATTCCACTCTCTGCTGGCCAATACCTCCAGGTCTGCCAATCTTTTATTTGTTCTGCAACATTTCTTGAATGCCTGCTGTATTCTAGGCACCGTGTTAGATGCCAGAGAGAAAACAAGGCACACACCCAGGCCCTGCCCTCCAGCCTACAGTCTAATGGTGAAAAGAAGCAGGTGAGCAGGCAATTCGAAGAGATAATGAGATGAGTCTATAAGAGGGACCCTGATAACACAGAGAATCCAGAGGAACACTTTGCATCTGGCAGGGTAAAGAGGTGGGAGGAGAGGAAACACCACCGACAAAAGTGCCTGAGATGAGGGAGTCTTTCATAGGATTATATCTACTTCCATACAGTTGGAGCTTAGAGCGGGGAGACAGGACTTACTACTCCCTTCCTCCTTTTCACAGATATTGTCTAGTTCAGAGAGACTTTATCTAAGATCCAAAACCCCTCTGAAATTGCAAGCAAAACTGCGCACATACATGTTTTTCTGGAGACAGTCCGTAGCCTGCAGCAGATTCTCGAAGAGGGTGCTAGCTCCAAGTTAGGAATTACTGAGTTTGATTGTCCATGTCTTTTAATACACGGGCCCTGGACCTGATACAGTACCACATACTCAGAGGTATGTTCGTGGGCAGAGCACTGCCTCCCTCCGTCAGGACATGGCATCCTGCCCGTGTGGCTCAGCCCTGTCACACAGCACATTCACGCACAGGCTGTGGTCACCAAGTCCCTCCGCCTGCTTCTTGGTCAATTGATGCTGAAATGAAAGTCAGGACTTGTCTACAGTCCCTGTCGAATTTCAGCCCAGTGCTCTAGACTCTCTGGTGATCATGAACAATAAAACTGAGAACGTGGCTCCTGTTCATTGAATACTTTCTGTGTGCCGGGCGCTATGTTAAAATACTTTACACACATTATCTCAGTTAACCCTCCCAACCCACAAAGTCGATATTCCCATCTCCATTCTATAGCCGCGGAAGCCGAGTCTCAGAGAGGGTAATAAACTCGCTAAGTGTGACTGAACTCTGATTTGAACCCAAACTCGTAACTGTTAAGCCACAACAGGGTGCCTATGCCTTCCCTCGGCCGCCCCACCCTAGTCAACAGACTCGGTGTCTAGTGTCTCATGCCCAGTTCCCTGTTGCCAGTATTTTCCCTACACACTGACACAACATGGATCTTTCTTCTTATTTTTTTATTTTTTAATCCTCACCCAAAGACATTCTTGCATTTATCTTCAGATAGAGTGGGAGGAAGAGAGGAAGAGAGAGAAACATCAATGTGAGAGAGCAACACATCGAGTGTTTGCCACCCACACGACCCCAACTGGGGCCGGGGACAAACTGCAACCGAGGTACGTGCCCTGAGCGGGAACCGAACCCGGGACTCTCTGGTCCACAGACTGACGCTCTAACTGCTGAACCAAGCTGGCCAAGGCCAAAATGAATCTTTCTAAAACACTATCAAATCAAATCTGAACTTCTCATATTATATTTTAATGTATTTATCTTTTAAAAAGTATGTGACTGCCCCGGCCAGTTTGGCTCAGCGGTTAGAGCGTTGGCCCTCAGACCAGAGAGTCCCGGGTTCGGTTTCCACTAAGGGCACGTACTTTGGTTGCAGTTTGTCCCCGGCCCCAGTTGGGGTCGTGTAGGTGGCAACCACTCGATGTGTCTCTCTCACATCAATGTTTTTCTCTCTCTCTTCCCCCCCCCCCCCCACTCTATCTGAAGATAAATGCAAAAATGTCTCGGGTGAAGATATAAAAAATAAAACAAAAAGTATGTTACTCACCGGTTTAAAATCCCAATACATGTGCAGTCCATCTTTGGCTGCCTTGGAACAGGGCTCTAAGGTGGGCTTCTCCCCACGGCCAGGGTCCGTCAGGCAGCGATCGTCGACATTTGCCTCTGCGATCAGTGGTCCGATGTACAACTCCCCAGAGAGACGGTAGTAGACGTTCTAGAAGACAGCAAAGGGATCTGCCATGGACACAGTCAGGGCAGAGGCCTGGGCTGTATAGTGGACATAAAGACTGCTCTTGGGACCCCTGGATACTCAGGTACCACGAGGAGCATTGAATTTCCCTGGGTAACAAGAAGTACCCTTTGTTCCTTTCTCCCCACCCACCCTCCAGTGGACTTTAGGAAGAAGACCAGACACGAGGAGGGAACATTAGCCTGCTTCCTTGCACACAGCTGGCCCAACAAAATCATGGCTTGCACGGATGAGGGAAGCTTAGCGTTGAACAAAACACACAGCTGAACTTCATAGGTGTCCTTGTAAGCCTCAGCTGAGCTTGTTGTCAGGAAACCTTTCCCATTCTCAGTCTGCCCCTGCCTTGCTCAGTGAGTCTGAACAAGTAATGTGTCACACAAGTAATGTGTCATTTGTCAAGTGGAAATGCTATCTATCCTTCAGAAGGTTCCTGTGAGGGCAACGTGCAAAGTCACACGATGGATGTCATAGTCTCAGGGAAGTGCCCCCTACACCTCGCACATGGTGCCAGACCTCTCCTATCCCCTGGAGGGACTTCCGTTCAGCCCTCCTTCTCTAGCCCCGTTTCCTTCTCCAGGGAAGAAGCCACAAGGAGCCGTGGGGGGGGGGGGGGGCGACTGTGAGAAGGGGGAGAAAAGGGGACATTGAAAGTTATAGTCAATAAAAATATCACCATGGAGCACGAGTGCAACAGATCAGAGCCTTTCTGCCTGCCCCACCCGTATCTGAAATAGAACTGTCTTGCTGTGACTTTCTGAATGAACTTGGAAGTGCTTAGTGACAAGTACAGGTGTGGGTCTCACCATGACTCATTACCCAGGATTCTCAGCTCCCGCCTCTCTGTCATCTAACGGAGTCCAACGCCGGCAAAAGTTGAGCCTCAACAGACTAGACTCATCCTGTCCGTACAGAGAGGATGGTGGAAGTTACCTGTGGAGTGTATCCATGACAGCCATACATGATGGGGGTGTTGCCTGGAATGGGTCCCTGATCCAGGCAGATACTTTCTTCCAATAAGTTCTTCATCTGAAGGAGCAAAACACAGGACAACACTGTCGGAAAGAGTCAGAGAAACAGGTCCATCAAGCCTCCCCAGGCCCTGCATTTTCTCCCGTACCCCAAGAGTGCCAGAAATTACCAGCCAAAAGGACAAGCGGTTTGGTCTACTGACAGCAATTTCTAAGCCCTAGACAAATACTGAAGTGATGCCCACTCCCTGGGAACACCTGCCCCCATGGACCATCACAGCATAGAGAGAAGGGGCACTTATGCCCACCTTCAGGTGGGTGAGGCCAAGCACCCTGATTGGCTGAGAAGCTGGAAGGGTCAGAGCAAGGGCTGCAGTTGGCAAAGGAAGGAAGCGGAGGCAGGGAGAAGGAAAAGAGATGGGAACTGGGGGATAAGAGATGAAAGGAAACCGTGAGGCTCTAAGGGCACAAAGCAGAGAAAGGGGTTGGGGATAGGAAGAGGATCGTGGGTAGGATGGGTCTGGTAAATCCTTTTCTGGTTAGTTATGCAATTCAGGTTTTATTATCTATTAGAGTCAAACATTTAAAATCTGAAATGCAATTTCATAATACATACTGCTCCGTAGGCCACGATGTTGCGGACTGGCTTCAGGGCTGGATAAACATTTTTCAGATACCAGTCAAAACTTTTACATTTCAGTTTCTCCCGGAGTGCTATTCTGGAAGAAATGTTTCCATAATCGACTCCAGAGTTCTGTAAATAAAACATGGAGTGTGTCTGTAACATCCTTGGCTCCTCCAAAGGGTGTGGATGATGCCTGAAGGAACTGGGTATATTTCTGACGGCCTGGAAAGTAACCTTAATAATTTATAGTTTTCCAGGGAAAGTGAAAAAAAAGCTTGAACATTAGGAATCTCTTTTGGTTGCAAAGGCACTTGCAAGGCCTGTGTTGTGCAGTCACTCAAGTTTATTTCCCATCATCAGCAAGCTGACACAGACTGCTCCTGTTAGAGATAATATTTACATCAATAAGACACAAAATACTACTCATGATGGCCAGAAAAGGCTTTCAAAAGGAATATTCTGGCAGCAAGATTTGGAAGTTAAAGGACATTTTCTAAAAGTGACATCTGTGGGGAATCAAAATGAAAGGATGTTTGAGCCCAGAGCCACAGCTCAGGAACAGAAGACAGCAAATCACACTGACCTCAGGTGGCAGGGACAATTGTATGTCGTTAGCCAAGGTCATCCTTATTCATGTACATCCAACAAGATTATAGTCTCTATTCCCACCATTGCACATTCCACCTCTTAAAACAATGAATTCTTGATGTCCAACCCTGCACCATAAAAATTCCACCAGTATTGATGATGGATGAAGAATAAGTAATCTAGAAGATTCTTACCCTACAACATAAGGATGAAGAAGAAGAATCAGAAGATTCCTTATGCCTTGGTTTGAATTTTATCTCAGCCACTTACTACCTTATCACCTTAAACAAATTTCTCTCAACTTTCTGTGCTTCAGTTTCTTCTTCTGTAAACTTAGGATAATAAAATATAACCCAACCAAGGAAAACTCTGTGCTCATTTCCTCCAATGACCACATCAAAACTACATTTATAGAATATTTCATCCTAAAGCTGCAGAATATACATTCTATTCAAGTGCACATAGGACATTCTCATAGACAGACCACATGTTAGGACACAAAACAATTCTCTACAAGTTCAAGAAGATTGGAATCATATCAAGCATCTTCCTGGATCACAATGGCATTAAACTAGAAATCAACTGCAATAAAAAACTCAAAAACATTCAAATACATGGGACCTGAATATTAAACAATGAATGGGTTACCAATGAGACCAAGGAAGAAATCAAAAAACTTCCTGGAAACAAATGAAAGTGAACACACAACAACCCCAAATATATCAAAAGCAGTCCTGAGAGGGAAGTTCACGGTATCACAGGCCTACCTCAAAAAAACAAGAAAAAGCTCAAATAAGTGATCTAACCCTAAAACTTAAATAATCTTGAACCACAAGAAATGCCCAGAGAAGCAGAAGGAAGGAAATAATAAAGATCAGAATGGAAAGACATAAGTGACATTATGACTAAAAAAATAAAATAAAAACAAAATGCCAGAGAAACCAAGAGCATGTTCTTTGAAAAGATAAACAAGATTGATGAAACTCTGTTTCATGAGGAAACAGAGCGAGGACCCAAGTAAATAAAATTAGAAATGAAAGAGGTGAAGTAACAACTGATGCCACAGAAATACAAAGGATTGTAAGAAAATACTATGAACAACTATATGCCAATAAAATGGACAACCTGGGAGAAATGAACAAATTTCAGGAAACACGCACTCTTCCTTCCAAAACTCAATCAGGAGGAATCAGAAAACCTGAAGAAGCTGATAACAACTAATGAAATTGAAGCAGTAATAAAAAAGAACTTTCAGCAAACAAAATTCAATACCTATCCTCCTCAAACTCTTCCAAAAAAATACAAGAAGAGGGGAAACTTCCAAGCTCTTTTGACAAGGCCAACATTTTCCTAATTCCCAAAGCAGATAAAGATACTACAAAGAAAGAAAATAACAGGCCAGTATCCCGGAAGAACATAGAGGCTAAAATCCTCAACAAAGTATTAGCAAATAGGATCCAGCAATACATTAAAAAGATCATACAACATTACCAAGTGGAATTTATTCTGGGGATGCAAGGCTGGTACAATATTCTCAAATCAATAAATGTAATACATCACATAATCAGATAGAAGGATTAAAATCACATGACCATATCAATAGGTGCAGAAAATGTATTCAACAAAATCCAGCCCCCATTTTTGATAAAAAACTGTTAGGCAAGTGGGAATAGAGGGAACATACCTCAACATAATAAAGGCCATAATATGACAAACTTACAGCATACTAAATGGGCAAAAACTAAAAACGTTTTCCTTAAGAACAGGTACAAGACAGAAATGTCTGCTTACCACCACTCTTATTCAACATACTATTAGAAGTCTCAGCCACAGCACTCAGAAAAGAAGAAAAGATAAAAGGCAGCCAAATTGAAAAGGAGGAAGTAAAACTGTCAATGCTCACAGATGATATGATATTGTATATAGAAAATCCTAAAGACTCCACCAAAAAAACTACTAGTTTTAATAAATGAATTTGGCAAAATGGCAGGATATATCTAGATATTAATGGCATTTTTTTCCTTAATCCTTACCTGAGGATAGTTTTCCATTGATTTTTTTTTTTTTAATAGAGTAAAAGGGAGGAAGAGAGGGAGGGGGGGGAGAGAGAGAGAGAGAGAGAAACACCAACGTGAGACACATTGATCGGTCGCCTCCTGCATGAGCCCAACTGGGGCTTGGGATTGAACCTGCAAACCAAGTGCTCTTGACCAAGAATCAAGTCCATGACCCTTTGATCCACAGGTTGTTACTCTAACCGCTGAGCCAAATTGGCCAGGCCAATGGCATTTTTACGTATCAATAATGAACTTGCAGAAAGAGAAACTAAAAAAAAAAAAAAAAAAAAATTCCCATTTACCATTGCAACAACAACAAAGATATCTAAGAATAAATTTAACCAAGAAGGTAAAAATCATATACTCAGAAAACTATAAGACATTGAAAAAGAAATAGAGGATATGAATAAATGGAAGCATATACCATGTTCATGGATTGGAATGAATATCAATAGAATAGATGTCAATAGAATATTCATACTATCGAAAGCAATCTATAGATTCAAAGTAATCTCTATTAAAATACCATGGGCATATTTCACAGATCTAGAATGAATATTCTAAAAATTTACATGGAACCAAAAAAAGACCCCAAACAGCCACAGCAATCTTGAAAAAGAAGAACAAAGTTAGGGAAATCACAATACTGGATATCAAACTATACTATAAAGCCATTGTAATCAAAGCAGCCTGGTACTGGCATTAGAACAGACTTATAGATCTACGGAACAGAACAGAGACCCCAGAAGTTGACCCACATCACTATAGTCAATTAATTTTTGACTAAAAGGGAAGAATATACAACGAAGTAAAGACAGTCCCTTCAACAAATGGTGTTGGGAAAACTGGACAGATATGTGCAAAAAAATTAAACTAGACCACCAACTTACACCATACACAAGAATAAACTAAAAATGGGAAAAAGATTTAAATATAAGTTGCAAAACCATAGAAACCTTGGAATAAAAGATAAGCAGTAAAATCTTAGATATCTCACATAGCAGAATTTTCGCCAATATATCTCTTAGGATGAGAGAAACAAAGGAAAAAGTAAATAAGTGGGACTATAACAAAATAAAAAGCTTCTGCACAGCAAAAGAAACCATTACCAAAATGAAAAGGGAACCCACTGTGTGGGAGAACATATTTGCCAGTGATACATCTGATAAGGGGTTTGGCTCAGCAGTTAGAGTGTCAGTCCGCAGTCCAGAGAGACCCAGGTTCGGTTCCCACTAAGGGCACATACCTCGGTTGCAGTTTGTCCCCAGCCCTGGTTGGGTCGTGCGGGTGGCAGCCACTCGATGTGTCCCTTTCACATCAATGTCTCTCTCTTTCTCTCTCTGTCTCATCCTCTCTCTCCCTCCTACTATATCTGAACAATAAATAGAAAAATGTCATTGGATGAGGATTAAAAAAAAGAAGTCATACAACTCAACAAAGGGAAGACAAACAATCTAATTAAAAAATGGGCAATGGACCTGAATAGATACTTTTCCAAAGGACATACAGATGGCCAATAAACATATGAAAAACTCCTCCATGTCACTAATCATCAGAGAGATGCAAATTAAAACTACTATGAGGTATCACCTCACACCTGCCAGAATGGCTGCCATCAATAAATCAACAAACAACAAGTGCTGGCAAGAACGTGGAGAAAAGGGCATTCTAATACACTGCTGGTGGGAATGAAGAATGGTGCATCCACTATAGAAAACAGTATGAAGTTTCCTCAAAAAATTAATAATAGAATTGTCATTTGACCCAGTGATCCCACTTCTGGGAATATATCATGAGAATCCTGAAACACCAATCAGAAAGAATATATGCACCTCTATGTTCATAGCAGCATTATTTACAATAGCTAAGATCTGGAAACAGCCCAAGTGCTCACCAGTAGATGAGTAGATAATAAAAGCTGTGGTACAATTTTTACATGATAGAATACTACGCAACTGAAAAAAGAAGAATTGCTTACCCTTAGCAACAACATGGATGGAACCTGGATACCATTATGCTAAGTGAAATAAGCCAATCAGAGAAAGGTAAATATCACATGATCTCACTTATATTTGGAATTGAATGAACAAAATAAACTGATGAACAGAATAGGTCCAGAGACATGGATTCATGGAACAGACTGACAGATCTCAGAGGGGACAGTGATGAGGGGGACTGAAAGAGATAGATCAAGGAATTTATATGCATATATGTATAGTCCATGAACACAGATAACAGTGTGTTGAAGGCCTGGGTTGGGATGGGTGGCTAGGTGTAGGGGGACAGTGGGGAGAAAATAGGGGACATTTGTAATACTGTCAACAATAAAAAATAAACCTTAAAAAATTAAATGGATTAAATGTTCCAATCCAAAGTTACAGGGTGGCTGAATGTATAAGAAAACAAGACCCGTACATATGCTGCCTACAAGTTACTCACTTCAGATTGAAATACACACATAGACTGAAAGTAAAAGGATGAAAA